ATGCATGCAAGCAGGGCAAGTGCTGCATCACTGTTTGGAGCGCGTTTTCTTCTTTGAAACAGAACGATTTTAGGCCCTAGCAAGAAAGGGGGAAAGTGCTTTGATCTAGTTATTATAGGTTGGGTCAAGGAATACACAAAAGCTTTTTGATATAAGGAAAGCAATATTATGAGAAACAAAAAAGTGTTTGCTAATTGGAGAACTGAGGTCTCCCGTAGGTCTCTGCCGGACTTAAATCACAAAAAGGTGCAACAATTTTTTCATCCATACAATTTTTTATAAATTTTTTAAACGCGCCTTCTACTCTTTACTGCGCATCTTTACTCCAATTTTGGTGGCTGTTCATTGTCTATTCCTTTACAAGGGAAGGATACTTGGATGAAGTGGTGATTTAAAAAGTGATGCATACTGGTAGATGCAGCTTAAGACGTTGATTCCAAATCTGCCTTCCATATCTGCGAAGCGTTTCTCTATAAAAAGTTATGTAAGCTTTTCTTTGAAATTAGCCTGTGCGTCTCGTCAATACTGTTCTACAATATTAAATCCAACCACAAACAACAAGCAAATGATTTAATTTTACTATTAAGACATATTTTGTACCTAATCAGCTTTCGCGCGCTGCAGTCCTGGGCCAAGTTCAACCTTTTGAGCAAATCCAGGTCCTGTAAGGCATTTTTGATTGAGAAGAACCTCCGTGACTTCGTTCAGAAAGGCGCTTCGCAGATAAGGAGGGTAGATTTGAAATCAGCTCTTTAAACTGCATGTAAAAATATGTATCCCTTTTTGAATCGCCACTTCGACCAAGTGTCCTTCCCTTGTTAGAAAAACAGGTTTGTATGGACATTGAAATTCGTTTAAATTTCGCACATACGCCCTTATTAAAACAAGCATTCAATCTGTACTGGAGCCGGTCACAGAGTGACTATGCAATTGCCGCGATTGAGTATTGAATAAGACAGGAGTGCTATGGCCGCATGCGTGAACATCCCCGCTAGAAAGGGAAGGGGAGCTCAACATTTTTGTTGTTAAGAGAGCAGCAT